TACCCCCATGCATATGGGATATATTGAGTATGGTGATCAGATCATGATATGAATAAACATAACAGTTTAAATAATGCACCAATAAGGCCTTTTCGAAAACCACCATGAAAATTTCGGGGGGGCTGAAGCCCCCCGAGCCCCCCCCTCCCGGCTACATGCCTGGCAGTCACACTGCTTGCTCACTCTATTAAGCAATGGTCTCAAAGGTATAAATCGATAGAATGGCAGATTCAATTGATCAATCCATTGATCAGTTAATAGATAGATACTTTTGTGGGGTAGGGGAGATTTAGGTTCAGAATTTGATTTTTGTCTTTAGATTCAGGAATTCATGTTTGAAGACTGAGAGAGCTAATACAAGACTACAGAAATTGAAGTTCCCCCACTGGGATGTAGTTTTCAGTGCTTATTACTCATACGAAACATCATTTGAGTATATAAAAAAATGCATGCCATCTCATAACAATGAGACTTTTCCCCCATGGTGAGTTTTAAGATGAAATGACATGTGCTTACTTTCCCTTGTGGGTTGCTATGATTATTTCTTCTTTAGAAGAAAGTTCAGGATCTATTTGCACATGGGCCTGGTTGTTGCTACCTTGTATTAAGTAACAAGCAGCCACAATAGATGTTACAAAGGGCATACAGTGCCTAAACAGAGGACACTGAAAAGTGATGCCATCTTTATTGATTGGTGATACTCTGAACATGATATGCTATTACAGGTAGCCTTCACTAAGCCTCCTTCTCTTCAATTTGGATCAATATCTTTTATGTTATTACATGGTTAAGGAAACTCGTGAGCTCCAGCAGACACTGCTTACAGAAGTGCTTAATGTTTTAATAAACCAAAAAGATACATTATGACCCTTAAGAATTAATTTAGTTTTGGATTCTTGCATAGGCTGGATGTGGGTGGGGGGTCAATTAGATAACACTGGGTTATCTCCCACTACTCCTAGTTCTGTTATTCTACACAGCCCTGTGTGCTGTGTTAACCCTTATAATTATTAGACAACAAAACCCACAAAACTGTTTTATATTTTAAAAGTTTCTCTGCTGTGAAAAAAAGTGAACAGAGAAAACATAAATCTACTACACTGCTATATTGCAGAAGAGACCTTCAACAAAGCATGGTAGTGTGAACTGTAGAGATGTGAAAGAAAGTTGTTCCATTAGGGTGTGTGTGATTCTTCACTAATTTCATTCTTGAGGGAAGCAGTGATTAAGATTAGCAGTCACCGTTCCACCATGAGAAAGTCATAAAATAGGATAAGTTTCACACAATATTGGCAATTCCCCATGATGGCAGGATGGAAGTGTTGTTCGTGTTCCTTAGCCTACAGATTTAGGAAGATAGATTGAGATATCAACTTGTAAGATATGCACATATTTTCCTCTTTCTCAAGGGTTCTGTATACTACCCTCATGAGTGTGTGGGGTCAATTGCATATTAAAAGACATGCATAAAGGCAGATCAGATCTCCAAAAAGAAATATGGCTTATTGCAATGAACTGTAGCAAGTCCTATTTGTAAATTTTTAATATAGATGTACACTGCGATTTTCTTCAAGGTTCCCAGTGACAAGAGGTTTAAGCAAATTAATACAAGTAAGTAGAACATCTGTCCCTCCTTCTGTCTCTATATTATTCATTGTGGCATCTGTAATACTGGACAGAAAAAAAAATCCAGTACTAGTAGGAACAATAATTGTTAATTTCTTGTTAATTTCTTTTTGGATCTTTAAAGCATTTGTTATGTTTTTCAATCCATCTGTCTCTAAGCCTTTGTAACTCTATTATCGATACTACCTTGTGGGGTGATCCTTTTTTGTTTGGGGGGGGGGGCCTAAAACACACACAAACAATAAACCTTATCTATGTGTGCATTCTAATTAGAAATTTAATATGAGCCAAAAATTACCGCAAAACCAAAAAATATTTCTGCAGCTGTCTGCCTTCCTTCCTTCCTTCCTTCCTTCCTTCCTTCCTTCCTTCCTTCCTTCCTTCCTTCCTTCCTTCCTTTCTCCCTTCCTCCCTTCTTTCCTTTGTAAGAGAATAAAAATGTGATACAAAGCAATGGCAAGGCAATGCGTCCTTCCCTATGTAAACTGAATGGTAGGGATTGGAAGAAGTCTAGAGAAGGGAGCAAAATGTAGAACAAGTTTTCAGGACATTTCCAGACAGCACCAAATCACTGGTTTTAATCAGGGGCAAAAAAATACCAGGATTTCAGAAGCAGTTCACATACAGACCTGTTGGTCCCAGAATTTCTGTCCCCATCATCCACACTTTCTGCTTCATTGTGCGAAGAAGTGAATTATTGTACAGAGTTTGTTCCTGGGTTATATAAGCTGTAGGGCCATTTGTACAGATAGGGTGTTGTTCCTGGGTTAAACACATCTGTTCCTAATTGCTCTTATTGGGAAAAGATGTACAACATTGACTAGAGGGCCACAAATTTGTCCTGGCCAGAGAAAATGTGCCCTCCATCATTAAGTTTCTGGCGCAAAAACAAAGTTTTTGTGTTCTGCTCAACTGTCACGTGCTTTTTAGAAACCACCCAATCAGAAACAAATATCTAAAGCCCAGAAACAAACCTAGAGGAGAAAAATCCTGTGATTTCCAACTGCAGGGACATACAGACATTTGAAGATGTGGATTTTCAGCTAAGATATTCCTGCACCTGAAAATCTTAAGTTTTTTGCCATTTGTAGTGATAGCTTCGGCATTTACAGGAAACGGTGCCTGCCCACCCTCCTATTTGCTGCAGAAGTTCCTGGGATAAAGATACTGTCTGGACAGGCCCTCGGATGCATGTTTGAGACAGTTGGACAGACAGATGCAGAGACACACCAGAAAAAAGATTTTCCACCCAAATAATACTTGTTTTGCAACTTTTAAATTGCTAACACAAACTATGGGAATACTCTCTGCAAAACTTACCCTTTAAAAAGGTTAATATGGTAGGTTTAGTATATGCAACTGACACATAGATCCATTTATTTGTATCATAATTTCTTTATATAGATGAGTCAGTAGTGAAAGAAATTACAGTAACCTTGAAAAAATGAGGTAAGGTTATAATAAAGTGCCCACCTTCTGAATAACTTGTGATGGTCAAGTATAGTGTCTGAAGCCTACAGAAGGATTTAAAGCTAAAAATTCAAGTCTACCGTTCTTTTAAGAAAAGAATTCAATTTCTGAACCTAAGGATATGATTCATATTGAGGGAGCAACAGTTTTAATTTTAATCTGTATTATAAAATTCTAGAAATATGTTTTTAATATGAATGTTCTTGTGGATGAATATTTTCAAGTTCCTGAATAACAAATGCTGACCATCTTTTTTCCTTTCTCATTTAACTTTGCATGAAACTATGTTTTTCCACTTTCCTTTTGGAGAAGATATTTTATGCCCAGAATAGGTATATTATACCAAAAAGTGTGAAAATATTAATAACTGAATTTGCATAATGTAAGATGGCAAGATACCAATCCACATATACATTATTAAATATAAGGTTCAGGTGAGGCTATATCCTAGCAAAAGTAGTAAGGATTTATTTGGTCTTTTGGTTAAACAGGAGATCACATATTTAGATACTATATCATCAGAGACACAAAATAGGCACAAAAAGAGGAAGAATTTAGTTAGCAGTTTTGGAATACTAGCAGTAGAAAAACTATACATTTCCATGGCTATGGGTTCCTCAAATAAGAAACCTGCAATGATTCTGTCTCAGAAAAGCTTTCAAACTTGATTTTTTGCTCAATATATAAAAGTCTCAAATTAAAAAGAAAGGAAAGGGGAAATCAAAAATTAATTCTATAGGTCATGAATTGCTATGGGAATCAGAAGTTTTAATATACTTATGGAACTTCTGAAAACAAAACTGAGAACAGAACACATGGTTCTTGAATTTTTCTCTCTCTCTTTCTCTCAATATCTCGATATCTCAATATTTGATTTGGAAACAAAAATATCCAAACCCAAATTTTGTCAGAGTAGATCGATCTGCTTAGAAAATGTCAGTATAGCTCTCACATGCCATTGGCAAATCCAGTAACTGTCAGCACAAATGATGTGGAGATCCATCACTCCCCAGCCATGCATTTGAAGAAGTGGTTTCAAATCAATGAAAGCTCATGCTGAAATAAATCAATTGCACTTAAAGGAGCTGGTAGGTTTCTTTTCTTCCAGAATGTCTCTTTTTATACAGCATGGAACACCCCCATGGTCTTTTCTAGCACTCTATGCAAACAATACCACAATCTATCTATCTGGCTGTTTAAAAATAAAATTGGAAACATTTCCATTTATGCCATAATAAGAACTCTAAATTGGCAAAGTAAATTATACTTTTAACAATAAAAGTAGAAAGAAATGTACATGAATGTATTGTTTATGATAAATCATTTCTAATGCATTGCAGTGGTTTACAAGCTTTGACTCTCCAGGAATTTTTCTTTCTTTAGAGAATGTAGTTCTAAAAATTTTCACAATTGTAATTAGGTGTTTTTAGACTTCAGTTCTGACAATTCCTAACAGCTGGTAAGATAACTTGAATTTATGGGACCTGAAGTTCCAAAACAGCTGGAGGACCAAAGGTTGGGAACCACTGTTGTTTTAAACTAAAATTACTTTTTAAAAGTGACTCCATAGTATAATGAGAGCTTATTTCCAAAAGTTAAAAATACAATACATAGATACTGCAAAATTATAATAATTATTCAATAATTTAATATTATTGGTAAAATCACAGTTGAAAAAATATTAATAAATTCAGAATAACATTAATTTTAATGGATTGTTTCCAAGTTATATATTTAAAATGTCAGTATATTCTCTCCAGGGGAAACAATGGATTACAATTCGGAAGTAGTCTATTGAGTCATCTGATTATATATTCTTTCTCAATTATTATCAAAGCAGAGTTCAAATACTGTATATATCACAACTTGCCAAAATCAATCAATTAAAAGGGAAAAGTACATACCTGAAAATCTGTTCAATATCTTCTGCTTTGATTTCTTTAATAATCTCCTGACTGATATGAGAGTCACTTGGTTCTGATAATGTAGGGGAAGGAGGACACTGTGCATGTCCATAATAGCCTATCAAAATCCCCAAAATAAATAAACTTACAGCAGTGAAAAATGGCTTAAATATCCGGCAAAAGTTGCAGTGATTACTCTTTGGTGGAGTCCTTGCATAATGGGACACATAATCTGGATCCTCCTGCAATCTTTGGAACCTCCCTTTTGGAGATGCTGATGGCTGAATAGGCTCCAGGTCAATGTCTGTGTTCTGAGTTTCTTCTGCTGGCTCACAGACCCTCCCATCCATCCTGAAATGGTCAAAGCCAGGTTCCTCCAATTCCTTTTCCATGTCCCATTCCAGTTCAAGGGAAGTGGCTTGTAAGTCATCATTCTCTAGGTATTGTGATCTCTGATCTCCACTGACTTTGTGATAGGCCATTTTTTTACCTGTTGATAGAGAACAAAAAGTCAGCAGAAAGTCACAAGGGTAAGGGGCACAGAATCCCCATGAAAGTGGAAAAACTGTGAATTTGGGTTTTTTGTTTTTTTTACATCAGAGAACATGTCAACATTCTCTAGGGCAACTGTTTTGTTAACATCCATTGGAAGTTGGCCATAGAATCACCCCAGAAAATTGAGAGATTCTTAAAGAAATGTTCTCTCTAGAAATCTCTATGTTCTGCAGCATAATTCTATGGTCAGCGTCTGACAGAAATTGTCCATATAATAAAATCATAGAATAATAGAGTTGGAAGAGACCACACAGGCCATCCAGTCCAACCCCACATTGCTAAGTTTCCAGAGGGAATTGAAAACTTTCCTTTTTAAGCAGGCCTTTGACAACCCCTAAGACCTTAGCCTGGCAAAATAAATTGACTTTGACTCTGCACTTTACACTATTTGTAAATTGCTGCCCATCCTCTAACTAGTAGCTATCACTGTGTTTTATTGAGTATTTTATTTAAGCTGAGTTGGGCTTTTATCCTTTGTAAGTGTTGTTTTATGTGTATTTGTTATTATTTGATTGTGATGAAAATATATTTTGCTAGTATTTTATGGTTTTTTTATGGCACTATTGTGTGATGTTTGTAAGCCGGCCTGAGTCCCTTCAGGGAGATGGTGGTGGGATATAAATAAAGCCTCTGTTTAAAAGCTTCCAAGCTTTTAAACCACCCTGGAGGATCTGGAGATTTCTAGGGAGAACATATTAGTTAAATTCAAGAATAGTCAAATTTGCAAAAGTTAAGCCCACAAATATGGATGGCCAAAGTCACTATTTACCTGAATAATTAATTTAAACAATATCTAGTGCCAAATGTGTTGCAATAAAGCTCCCATATTTCTCAGGTAGTATGTTCAAAGGCATATAATGTTACCTTTCCTTAATAAGTTTACAAAATTGTATTTGAAAAAAAAAACCCACTTCTGTTATAATTCCATCAAACTTTCTCTATCCAAAAAATTGTTCCTGGGGATGACATTATATTATTATCTAGCATGGAGCCCCCAGTGGCGCAATGGGTTAAACCCCTGTGCCGGCAGGACTGAAGACTGACAGGTCGCAGGTTCAAATCCGGGGAGAGGCGGATGAGCTCCCTCTATCTGCTCCAGCTCCTCATGCGGGGACATGAGAGAAGCCTCCCACAAGGATGATAAAAACATCAAATCATCCAGGCGTCCCCTGGGCAACGTCCCTGCAGACAGCCAATTCTCTCACACCAGGAGTCACTCCTGACACGACAAATCTAGCATTATTGCCAGGGATATATCCAACAGGGATAATAATGTTGAGATGTTGCTGCATCAGGCCATGTTCTTGTACCAATCCTAGGAGGTCTGTGAATTCCTCAATAATTATTGTAGGGCAAAATAGAGATGTCCAGGAAATGAACTGCACAACATTTGTGGAGGTATCCTATTTCATTTGCAACTGCTTCTGCTATAAGAAGCTGTTTGAAGAGTTATTTTAAAGCCTGGGAATTTTTGGTTGAAAGCCCTTATTTTTTTCCCCATGAAATACATTTTTGTATTTGCAATCCAGGAAAAAAATCACGGAATAGTAGCCCTGGTTTGCAATCATGGAGGGTTCGTGAAGCTGTGTTCTTTTAAGATTTACAGATATTAATTTCTGTGTAGATTTGCTTTTTATCTTGTTCACAGACATAGTACTTTTTTCTATTTTTTTTTCTGACAGAACCACAGAGTAAGAAATCCATTTTATCAAGCCATCTACCAAAGGAAAGAAATGCTGGGTAATGGCAGAAATTTCAGGGTGACATTCCATGCCCTTTAATGCTTCAATAAAAGCCTTCCATCTGGATATAATGTTCTATTCTTCACCTGCAGATAAATGCACAGCCCTTCAATGACTTATTAACTTACTTTGAATTTATCCTGCCAATCTGATTTGATCTGTTTTCTGTGCAGTCCCCCCCTCCCACTTTTCCCTTTTTCCCTTTCATCTCTCTCCCATTTTAAATGAATCAAAATCACTGCCTGGTTGGTATTCTGAGCAAAATGGTTTCCTTAATGGCAAAGTATAATGGTGGCAGTTTCAGGCATATTTCTATCTCAACATGTGCGCCCTCAAAGTAGAACTCTGACCTCTAATCTAAACATTCAAAGTCAATTCTCTACAAATCATTTCTAAACTGACTGCAGGGAAGAGACTTCGTTTTCATTCATACTTCGACAATAGACATTCCATCACATAAGCAGTGGCAATTTAACGCTTTTCAAACAGCGGACAGAACCATCAATTAGAATGAAATGCAGATACAGATATTAACTCACAATATGATGAGTATCTGATTGACACTCACATCCTGGCCTCCTCCCTTTCCTTGTTACACATTAATAAATTTTCTTTATCTCAGATCCTTCTTCCAAATAGTGGTTTCTAGGTCACATATTGGATGAACCTACTTATATGCAGCAGCACAGAGAGGGAGGTGAGCAATCATATGTGAAATTGGGGAGGGGTGGGGGTGGGATGACGCAAAACACACCAAAATACAAATACAGCCCACTGCATGCTGGCAAAAAATAAAAAGGGCCTCCCGCAGGGCTGTGTCTGATTTGCAAATCCAATAAACAAAGATATAAATAAATATAATAAACATAATAATAAAGGTCTGGTCATTTGGAGGTCCTCACCTCCTGATACTGCTTTCAGAAAACATCACTTGCTCTCTTTTTCCACTGTCACAGCTCATATAATAGTCCTATAAATGTTTTGATCATTTGGGGTCATCTAGAGTTAAATAAGGGAGCCCCCGGTGGCGCAGTGGGTTAAAGCACTGAGCTGCTGAGCTTGTTGATCGAAAGGTCGCAGGTTCGATTCCGGGGAGCAGCGTGAGCTTCCACTGTCAGCCCTAGCTTCTGCCAACCTAGCAGTTTGAAAACATGCAAATGTGAGTAGATCAATAGGTACCGCTCCGGTGGGAAGGTAATGGCGCTCCATGCAGTCATGCCGGCCACATGATCTTGGAGGTGTCTACAGACAACGCTGGCTCTTTGGCTTAGAAATGGAGATGAGCACCACACCCCAGAGTCAGACATGACTGGACTTAATGTCAGGGGACTACCTTTACCTTACCTAGAGTTAAAGAAAATCATTCTGAAATCACTCACCATTACCACAAACAAAATTTGTTTAGTTTCTTTTCAAATTTAGCTTGATATTTTCCCTTACTCAGAAAATCCACAATGTCTCCAATTCTGTCTTAGTTGATTTTTAGGGAGAATGGCTTTGGAATTTTTATTATTTACTTTATTTAATTTCTTTCCATATTCCTACTGGTATGTTAACTGGGTAAGACCCTTCCATTTCAACCTGACACTATTTTTAGCAAAATTCATTGACAATTCTGAACATGGTTACACTACTGCAAGAATCTCTAATTGAACAACATTTGCAGACTGTCTGAAAATTGGAAAGGCCACAATATATATATATATAAAAGAGCAAGATTCCAAGCCAAGTTCAAGGTACTGGTTTTTGAAAACTAGGGTTCTGGAAATGCCAGTTACTACAGTTGGACCAGGCCAAGTTTGTGTTCTCTCCTCAGTCTATACTGTTTCCTTCTTCTCTACCCTACCACACCTTCTTACCCGAATCTCCTACTTCATTTCCACCCTTTTGCTACTCCTCCGTAGGCATGCTTTCTTTTCTATTCTCATTTCTTAGCTGCTCTTTTTCCTTACAAAGATTTCCTCTCGTGCTTTGCTTTTCAGTGTTAAGAAGCTTGAGAAGGCCATGATAATGATTTAGACAGTAGAAGAGTTTGATAAATGCATGGATAGATGGCATTCCCAAATTACCTTTCTTTCCAGAGGACCGGCTGAGAATTTATATCGGAGGCAATGTGTGTGTATGTATGAACATGGATGTATGCAACCAAGGGAAAAAAGTGGTAATTCTCGATGTGTCTACACTGACAACTGAGTGCCCTTCCAGACAGTCCCTATATCCCAGGATCTGATCTCAAGTTTTCTGCTTCAAACTGGATTAAATGAGTCCACATTGTCAGATAATCTGGGATCAGATTCTGGAATATAGGGCCTGTCTGGAAGGGTTCTGAATCCATTATGCTTCAAACTGGCCCCAGTTCAACCATAATGCACTAGAAGAACATGGATGTAAGCAACTACATGAACTTGGCTGAATCCGTGTGATTCTGCAGCATCACTCATATAGGCCTGCTGGGCCAGTCCCACATCAGCTCCACTCCTGCCTCTACTTCCTCATTACTATGAAAGCTCTGTGGAAAGCCTGTTTGGTGTGCTATTGCTTCTGCTGAGGTCAGAAATGGGTGCCCTGACATGTGACCCACAAGGAAGTTTTGCACTCAACTTCTATGTCGATTGAACAGGGGAGGGAGATGGTGTGGCAGCTGTCCTGGAAACAACTAATTGGACTGAATTGGATTTAGTACAACTCCAGAGATTCTAGAAAGTATTGGAGCTTTCCCTGACATCATCTCAGAGCAAAGTCAGGTTAAAACCAAAAAGGCGGATCCTCCATGGTATTAGCCATATGTTTTCTTGACTGTAAGCATCAGCTTTAGGATAAGTCTGTCTTCCTTTACCAGTGTAGTCATGAACTCTGACTTTGGTCATGTGAGAAGGAGAGGGGAGTTATATGGCTTGGTCAAGACCAGAAGTTCATTGCTATTATAGGGGTGCAAACCATTTTAACTCAAGAGTCACATCTGGTGTCGGTTGAGGCCAACCATGCTCTTCCATATGCAAGCATGTACATACAGGTTACCTATTATTCAGAGTACATACTGGGCACTACTTAGGAAAACAAATCACTCTGAAGATCATAGAAATGATGATGGCAACTACTCCAAAATAACTGAGGAGGAGAGACTTTCACCTTCTCACCTTTCTAGCAACCCTATGGGTACAATTACTTTTGCAATGGCATTAGCAACATTTTG